ATTTGACTAAATATCTCTTTTTAATCTCGTCCATCTGCTATTACTGTTATAGTTTTTTTTTCATATCTTTTTCATTTTATCTATACGATGGTTGGCTCGCTTAGATCTGGATTTTTTGTGTTTTGAAGATAATTATTTGCTACTTAGATCCGGGAGTTTTTGTTTGTTTGTGCTCTTGAAATTGAAGCCTGAAAGCGTGAGCTATGGTAACTTGAAAATACAGAGTTTTGGGAACAGTCTGAAACCTTTGCCATTTGCTTGAATCTACCTTATGGTAACTCGAAAATACAAGAAAAAAAAATAAAAAAGGACTATAAATGACTTTGGAATGAGTAATTTGTGGTTGATATAATTAACATATATTGTTCTACCCCTCTTTCTGGTGCATTCTACTACTTAAAATGTCATATTTTTCTTCCAGTCTCTTTAAATATTTTTTTTTTCTTGTGTTCAATCATTGCTTTATATATAAATTTGCCCTGGGCCAGCAAAATCTCAGGGCGGCCCTGGTTGCAGTGGAGGAATTGGATGAGTTTGGTCAAAACTCACATGTTGGTGGACCAGCAAAATCTCAGGGCGGCCCTGGTTGTAGTGGAGGAATTGGATGAGTTTGGTCAAAACTCACATGTTGGTGGAATTATTTAGGTATAGGACGATTCTTTTAGTGGAAGAATTGAATGAGTTTGGCCAAAATTGGATTTATTAGCTATAGAAAACAAAAGCATTGGCCTTGACTGGTTGGTTCGCTTCACTATATTATTGGAGAAAAGAAAACTCCTGTTAGTATCAAGGATTCCCTTTCTCCTTTCAATAGCCTGGGCTAGCGTTGATCTCGATGATGTGTAGACCAAGGCGCGAACCTGTATATATAGAATAAGATCAGAATAAGGGCAAACTGGGGGGATTCCAGTTTGATCCCTCTTAGCCATAATTTGAGGTTTAGAAGATAGCTGGAAATGGAGCCTTTTACTATCAGATTAGTTACTTATCTTGTCCAGATATTGGTGAGGGGTATTTATAGGAGGAGGATGGTCATAAAGATCTTTTTAATGTGTTAGACCATTCTCCTTGATTGAGTGATATTTAATGTTCTGCACCTGTTTCACCTACATTCCTGACAGGGGACAGAAGATGAAGTGGCAGGAGATCAGGGATGGGAAGTGTATTGAATACTCTCTCTTTTCATCAACCTGTTTTGCTTGTAGTCTAGAGGATAAGGTGACACCTGGTTAAATAGTGGGCGGTGCATTTATTTGATCTTAACCCTTGCCAGGCTGTCTCCTTTGGTGTCTTTCTGTAGTAGATGCCTTTCGAGTCATAGTGATCGGGTCGGTCGTCAAGATACAGATCACCCACCGAACCCTGAGGTCGGGTCGGTACTCTCAGACGACATGGTTCCACCAAGCCGCATGGTCTTCTAGTGGGCTCGGCTCATAGTGATGGTTCATAGCGATGATACGCTCCATCAACAACTCCAATGTTTTGTACCTTTGGATCATTACTTTTAAATTGCTACTCATTTTTCATGTTTAGGATTTTTTTTGTTTTCGCAAAATTCTAGTCAATTTCAAAAATAATTGGTGCATTTAAATTTAGGCGCCTCATTTTTAGATGATTGAGAATAAATAACCTATTTTTTTTTTTTCATTTTAAAAGAAGACAATCATCTTAATTATGAAATGCTGATGTGGACAAAAAATTGCAAATGTTTCATAATAAAAAAAGAAAAAGAAAGGAAAAACCAACATGAGTTGGTCCAAGTGGAAGGGGCTTGGATCCTTTAAACAAGAGGTCTTGGGTTCGATTCCAGGCACTTGCGAATAGAGGAGACTCTGTTGGGAGAGGTTCCCGCTTTGCGCCTGACTGTAACCCGAGGGATATAGTCTCCGCAGTCGCGCGGGGAATACCCTAGAAAACCGAAACCAAAAAAAAGAGAAAGGAAAATTCTAATTTTGTGAAAAGTAGCACGTGGGAGTGGGACTAGGGGTTGCTGTCAAAGGGGTAGCATGACAGCAACAAAATGGGAAAGGAATTAATAACAAATTATTTTTTTAAATAGGAAAACATTCGCGTATAAATTCATCTAAATTAGGAAATGCTGACGTGGACAACAAGTCAAAGATTTAAAATGGAGGGAGGGAAAATCCCAATTTAATACGATTCTACGAAGACGTGATATACAAATGGCGGCTGTGGTGGTATCATATGGCCACGAGGGTTTGCACTGTTTTTCTACCTCCCTCGTCCCTAGGCCCACCACAACCATGTGGGTGTGGCTTCTTTCCTTATTTATAATACATTTTACCAACTTGAAACTTCACAACGCCATACGTTTCTTGTTTCTTCTTCTTCTTCCTTGAACTCTCTGAAGTGAAAGTTCTTTGCTTCAATAATGGCTTCCTTTCCTTGCTTCAACCCTTTTCCCTTCCTTTAATAATGATCCTGATCAGGCTTGGTATATTTCTATCATCATGCATGCTTTATAATTGAGTTGCTATTGATTTGTTTAATTACATTTATTTTTTCTTCAAAATGTTCCCAGGTACACAAAGTTGGACACTCCCCATTGCCAGAAGTTTCAGACAATGAAGAAGTTGCAGGTGGGAAAATAAGTCTGCTGAAGTGTTTAATCATCTTAAAAGCTATATTTCTGCACGGTCTCGAGATAGGTAAAGTAAAAAAATTCTTGAATATGTTGTTGAAACTAAAATAACCGAGGCCTCTTGTGATAAAACCACACACCTATTAGGCTTTGTAAGGGGTTAAGTTGGGAACTATATCGGTATTGTTAGTATTGGGCCGCTAGCCCGTCTATCTGAATTTAATATGATATCATTACGGGTTGATTGATTGGGCCTGAATTGAGCCTTTACCTTTACTCAATATGTCATGTTCACATGTTGGGCTTAAATGTTTACCCATATCTCTTATTCAATACGTGGTGTATTGACTCCAATGTGGACTTGGCTCCACGTGTGGTCTACTATGTGGTGGTCCCAAATGAGGGGGCGTGTTGAAGAATATAAGTCCCACATTAGAAACTTGACTAAATAAAATATTATGCTGTATAGAAGTACATATATTATATTTCTTGGTCGTATGTTATCACGTCATCATGAAACCTCCTTTCAATTGTTACTATGGAGTGCTCTTGTTGGTTCCCTTATTGTTAAGTGACTTGACATGTTTTCAACTTCTGTGTGCATTTTGTGAGACTTGTGGTTGGTCAAAGTTCTCTTAATGCCACTTGAATTAGATCTACTGAGATTAATATCATTCCTTTTGATTATTTTTTGGTCTATTTTGGGAATTGTCTTTATATCCAATATGGTTAACGTGTGTTTCTCATTTAAGCTGATAATATTCATTTTTAATCATGTTGGTGCAGCGATATTGCTGTCATTGCAAAGATAGAGACTCTCCCTAAAGAACTAGGAAGAAATCATTCTAGCAACAGATGGAGCGCTGGTAGCAAGAGGAGATCTAGGTGCTCAGATACCACTAGAACAGGTCCCAGCAGCCCAGCACAGGATTGTTCAAGTTTGTCGGCAGCTAAATAAGCCAGTCATTGTGGCTTCTCAACTACTCGAATCTATGATTGAATATCCTACACCAACTAGAGCTGAAGTGGCTGATGTTTCTGAAGCAGTGAGGCAGCGAGCTGATGCTTTGATGCTCTCTGGTGAGTCTGCTATGGGCCAGTTCCCGGAGAAGTGTTAGTCTGAGGATTGAGAGATGGTGGAGGGAAGAGAAACATCATGAAGCTATGGAACTCCCAGGCGTTGGATCGTCATTTTCAGACAGTATTTTAGAGGAGATTTGCATTTCTGCTGCCAAGATGGGTAAGCATTATTTGATTGATATCTTTCACTAGTTTTACTAAATACGTTTCCAAGTGAGGTAAGCTCAGCAATTATCCATGTGTTACGTAAAATGCATATAGCACATCTGCAGAGAGAGTCTTGATTC